TTTCAGAATTTTGAAATTAACCTATTTATTTTAGCCAAAAATTCATGAAAGCCGCTGTCTAGTGATAACAGAAGTACAACAAATTTTCCCCAATTGACGCTGAGATTCTACACAAAAATGGACAATTTGGGAAGAGGAGATATGGTTATTCGAGCCCATCGAGCCCTTGGGGCTCGTTTTTACAGTTGTCGATTGTCAAGAATTATAAAAACATAACCTTGCGGCTCGTTTTTATTATTGTTGGTAATCGGTAACTATAAAAACGAGCCGCAAGGCTCGAATAATCGTACATTCTCTTCACAAATTGTCCATTTTTGTTTCCAAGCTGAGGGTTAATTAGTTAATTACTGGACATTACTTTTCAAACTGTAGCGACGCGATTGCTACCAAGGCCCGCAGGCCATTGTGTTCAATAGGATTTTTACTTAGGCCTGTCGCGTTCTTTTTTTCGGTGGGTCCGGTAAAACATCTGCCAGCCAGACATGCTCGGACCAACATCGCCCTCTCAGCGAGTGTCCTTAGTTCGTAACGAGTTCGGTTATTTCAGGTATATACCTAGGGAGTACCAAGGGATTTCCGTTAGGTTTCAGCATGCTTGACGTATTTTTCTAAGCGTTTCACTGTCCTTGTTAGGAAGGACATTCTGTCTTTTGCAAGGCCACAATAAATAGACCTCCGAATCGATCGTTGGTGACATTCGTTTCACCGTCTCGTTAAAGGGAAGTGCTTTTTCCACGCGACGTTCACTTCGTCCTCCGTCAGCAAGTTAGAAGTTTTTCAGTGGTACCGCACAAACGCATTTAGTTAAGGTAGTGTTGTGAATAAACTTGTTTCTATTAAAACAGAGAGAGAGAGAGAGAGAGAGAGAGAGAGAGAATAGGGATCGTTAGTTTGTAATTCCTGTCTACGATGAATCTCTTCGAAACGATTCATATGCAATTTTATTGTACATCAAAGTGAGTCTGTCAATGCTTGATTTGATGTCATTAAAATTAGTTTTCTGTTAACGATACAAGAAGAATTACATAATTAGCAGTTCGTGCTTACAAGAATTTCTAAATGTTAATAATTAGATTTTTTAAAGAACGTGAGACAAATAGAGTTACGGAAGGCGACTCAGAAATAGATAACTTAAACGAAGTCTAAGCAAGAAAATTTTTATTAAAGAAAATAGTACATATAAACAATCGTACGTAATAATATTTATAAACATTTGACTGTGAAAGTGTAATAAATGCATTGAATAACGAATGTATTCTCTAATACTAGTGTAACTTTAACTTATACGCTATATACATATTTAAATAAATATACACTGGAGAGAAAGAAATACTTTGCGGTATATTAAAGTAGAGTATATAAGTGTCAAAATACAACAAATATGTGTGCGTTGTTCGTAACATATTCAAATTATTTAACTTCTGATACAGCATATTTTTAATTTGCACAGTGATAATTAGCGATGAAAAGAGTAAGTATTTTTACGGAGTATTTTAATGGTGTTGATTCGTAGCGGACAAAAAATTAAAATGAAAAGAAAGAAAGAAATAAGGAAAGAAGGAAAGAAGGACAGAAAGAAAGAAAGAAAGAAAGAATAAATACGACCGAACTCTTCGATTGGTCAGAGAATAAATAGGTTTTTTAATTTTTCGATTTTTGGTACTCACTGTTGATTTTTTACGTGGTCTTCCTGCTCTTAATTAAAAACGTTGCAACTATCTTCTAACATCGATGTTTATACGACGGATCAACAAAATTTTCGAACGCCTTTTAAAACGGAATAACATTTTTTATAATTAAGCTAAGCAATATTAGTGGTATTAGTTTATTAGACAGTGGCTAAAAAACTGTTTTCACAAATTGCAACTGGTCGAGATGCTAGAAACACGTAAAAAATAATCTTTTCTCAACTATTTTATCTGAGGATACGACGAAAATTTAAAAAACGCATTCTATGTTTGAATTGAGAAAAGTGAAATTTGAATCTGCACATTTCAAAATGAAACAAATTCGATAAATGAGTAAAATGGTTATACAATACGCGAGTCACTGAAATTAAAATTCGAGGCCTGCCTTGACCGTTTGACACTTGATGCCGTCTGCCGTTTGTTTATGTTAGAGCAACGACAGCGAGCACAGAGAAACAGATCTAGCAGATGTAATTACTACGTAAAAAAAGATACGGTAAAATAATAGTAATAGTTATAGTAGTGATATAATAATGATAACAATAACAACAAAATTATAGTTCAAAATGTAGGACTGTGCGTGAACGCCTAATCGCCGATATATTGCCAGGGTTAAAGGAGTAGTAAACTTCAATTCTATACAAGGTGTCTCTAAATTATTGCACAAGCGGGAAATAAGGGGTACCTGAGGCCATTTGAAGTAACATTTTCCTTAGCGAAAATGCAAACCGTGGCTTCGTTAATTTTCTAATTTACGATTATTCATATCGTAAAGATAAATTTATAAGTTATTTATTCGAATCATACGTTACTTACGGCAAATGTTACAATAACACTTGTTCAAAATCAGAATAAATGCCTTATCGTTACTTTTATAAACTGATATAAAACAGCTGTTTCTTGTGCACCGTAAATCTAGCGTTAACGCAAAACAGTGACCAATAAGAGGCGAGATTATCTGGCGCGAGGCGACCGAGCCAATGAGCGGACCTGTTCCTCGACCGTCCATTGGCTCTTCCGCTTCGCGCCAGCTGATCTCGCCTCTTATTGTTCCCTATTTCTCCTTAACACGATGAATGCCACGCCGGTTTTGCAGAAATTGTCCGTGGCGCCACGATGAATTTTTTTTTATATGATACATACAATGTTGAAATATTATCCGCAATAGATAAGTTACAGTGTATAACCACGTTTGACATGTTCATTGCGACAGGGGTCACTGCTTGAATCGACGATGGTAATAATACAAAATTTTAGATATATATAGATAGATAGATATTGACATTTATTTTAAATTATATATATTTCTATCAATTTGGGCGCGCCGGTCACCGGTGGTCCCCATGGTGTCACCGCCAAGTTAAGTGCCGGTCATCGGTGACCCCCGTGGTATTCAACGTGTCCATAACTCGCAAAAATACCGAAAATTGCATTTTCGTTAAAGAAAAAACTTCTCACAAACGACCTCGCGAACTCCTCGTTCCTCGCTCGTACAATAATTCTGTGACACCCTGTATACGAATGAAAGCTTCCAAAGCGTTTGACGCAACTGCAACGGAATGTTCCAGATAAAGGACGTCGTCCTCCAGAATTAATCAGTAGATAAGAATTATCCGCGGCGGGGAATCGCGAATTACGTAAACGTCTGCATCGCACCTGACGCGCAACGAAACACGTTAGCGACGCGCACGCGAGCGGAACTTCGCGAGAAATTCGCTTCATTGATGGTCCACGTGACGCGCTGGTATCGTCCTTGGCGGCGTTCCTTCGAAAATCCCGATAATTTCGCTCCTAAATCGCGATCACGTGCCCGCTCGATCCACACGTGGCGTACGCGTTGACGGCAGAACGTGACGCTCGTCGAGCCCGACGGACGCACGTGGTGCGTCGCATCGGTTCGACGGACGCACATGGTACGTCAACGTCGACGTCGACGTCCCTGTCGCGCATGTCCGCCGACGATAACGCTGCCAGAACCGCGTACATCAGCCGCCGGCTATCGAAAATTCCCGCATTCTCCGGAACCGTTCCTCCGCGCGATTTAGCGCGCCATTCGGTCGCGCGCGGATCGTCCCGCTTCGACAGAGTCCGAGCGAGACTGGATCCCGAGTCACGTTGCTCCGAAAGACGACGTTTTTTCGAATGTAATTCCACTCCGATGTCCAAGCCTCAACCTTCGACGCTCGCGTCTGCAGCCGACACGATTTTCACAGTGCTCCTGAAATAAATAGTTCTACGCTTCGTTCGATTAACCGTGACGTGAATGACACTGTTTCATCCGATTCGACCTCTCAGGTGTGCTCGCCTCCGTTGGAGAAAGTTCGGCAAGATAATCGTCCGTCCAGGCTGTCGCATAGAATCGTTCGCGGCACTTCGACGTCGACTATCGACAAGAACAGATCATCGACAGAGACATTTCTTCATCCTTCGCGTTCTCGGTGTACAGAGCGACGTTTCGAACAGACCTCGATCGTTCTTAATCACGATTACGAGTATAAATTCACGACGATAAAATCGTTCGTAAAAATCGATAGAATTAACTCGATCGAGTTGTACGCCGAGCGTCTACCGCTCGAAAACGCAGAAAATCGCTCGAGACCACGGTGTTGTACTCGAATGCAACGAAGCCGTTCCCGAAAGTGCAATTGAACGGGAACGACGCGGCTGCATGCGCACCGTGAAAATCGATCCACTCGCTGACGACAGGTAAACCGATCCAATCGTGTTGCCAGCGATCGGCGTATCGTCCTGACTCATCGAAAAGCGATCCGCGTGCTCGATGGTCATTCTATCGGGCAACCGTGGACGAAAATTCGCACGGCAAACGGACTTTCGTCGAGGCCGTTTAACTGCGGGGAGGGAAGGAACGAGTCGCCTCGGTACCTGGCATCTATATAACGCGTATCTAATCGGCATTTAATGCGGTGATCGTTGCACTCCGATGAACCCTGCGCGAAGAAAAAGGCTGGAACGGGGCGCGGGCGGGCGGACAGCCGTGCAAGACCGAGAGCGTCTGTCTCGTAGCGTCTTCTGTGCGTTCGCCGCGCTCTATCGGAATCTCGGTGCGATCGGCGGAAAGAAACGAGGGTAGGAGGTCGGCCGATCGGCTCCCGGTCGGTGCGCCGTCTAAAAAATCCGCGGGATTTATCGCGGCGCAACCGGATAGCCGCACCGTGATTAATCGGCGGCTGCGATACGGGCCCGCCGTACTTCTTCGAAATCGATCGAGAGAGAGAGGATCTCTCCGTTTCGCTGACTCCGCGGGATCACGACGACGCGGCGGCGGCGAGCCGGGGACGATCGCGAGAAGATCGGCCGAAAGGGCGAGGTGAGACACGGATGTCCATCGGCGAGATCTCGAGAAATTCTGCCGGCGGGCGTATAGTAGGCGAGAGACCGCTTAGCTTTGATAGCCGGGGCGACGGTTGTCGGTTCTTCTGTACCGAGCGCCGAGATGAAATGAGAAAGAGATCGAGCGATCTCGGTCCGCGCGACCCCTTCCCCGGCTGCGTGGATCACAGACGAGAGGCCGTCTACCACCAGCAGTCAGCCTGCTGACCTCTCTCTCTCTCTCGCTCTCGCTCTCTCTCTCTCTCTCTCTCTCTCTCTGACCGTTCCGTGCCCCCTCCCGCCCACCCCGGCCGCCGGTCTTCTCTTCTTCCTCCACCGCCTACTCCCCCAGTCGCCTCTTCCCCTCTACCGATCTGTCTTCTTATCGTTCCTCTCCTCTAATCCGTGAAATCTGGAACAAGAACCGCGTGGCGAGGCAAGCCGGTACCAGTGGCACCGAGGAACTCGGTACCAGCGGAGGTCTCTTCAGGAACGTCTCTCTACGGCGCTCGTCAGTGATCCGCGCGCACCCTGACTACCTGGTTAGCGAGCCTGTGGGGAACAGCCTGCACGTAGGAACACCGCGAAGAGGCCACGGACAGTGACAGTAGTAGTAGTAGCAGCAGCAACAGCTGGCGCCGGCGCGAGAGCCTTCGCTATTCCGCGAAGAAGGATTCCGAAAGGGAAGATCCGAAGTTCGGGGACCGATCAGGGCTGCCCTGCCGGCTACCGTGGACCGACCGACCTGCGGGAACACCACGGAAGACACGCGGCGGTCAGCCAGAGAATGCCGCAGAATCGACGAGCGTGATCGTTGCCGGAGAATCGAACTGTTCAGAAAGCTGCCAGACCTGCCAGACGAAGGTATCCGAAAGTGTCGGTTAGAGAGGAGCGACGCCGAGATGACGCGAAGCTACGCCACCGCGAGACGCGGCAGGGCGAAGAGGATGGTGCTGATGGGCCTGGTGCTTCTCACGTTGCTCGACACCGTGATCGCCATCCCGACCAAACGGTCCCTGCTGAGGCTGTGCTCGACCAGCCTCAGCGACGCCCTGTACCTGGTCTGCAAGGGTCGCGGATACAACGAGCCGTTCTCCAACAGCTCCGAGGTCGAGACCCAGGACCCCGTCGGGCCCGGACTAGCGGAACAGTGTTGCTACCGCACGTGCTCCTACACCGAGCTGGAACAGTACTGCAAGCCGAACATATCCAGTCCCGCGGACGCCGTGTGAGTGGATGTTAGTTTCTCCTTCTTTTTCTTTCGTTTATTCTCCGCTTCTCATCTCCGCTTCACCTGGCCGCCGAATACCGCCAGGCCCTCCTCCCCTCGTCCCCGTCGGCGAAACGGCGGCCGCCGCACGTTTCGCGGCTAGGACGGGATCAGTGGACCCTTCGTTGACCCGTTGGTTGCATTAGGATGTCACGGTGCAGGTGGTGATCGTCGAGACGACGTTCCGTTTAGTTTAGCCTCTCGAACCCGGGCCGCGGGGAAAGTGACGCCGTCGCGTCGTGAACGTGTCGGTTTCGGTGTTTGTTACGCGCGACGCCGTTCGCGAGCGGACACCCGGTAGCCCGGGGACGGGACGCCCGATGATTCGGCCGATACGCTAATCCCGCCGCTTCCATTACGCAAAGTTCGCGTCGCCGATTGTTCCGCGGGTTTTTTCCATTCGTGCGTCGCCTGCAATTAACGGGCACGAGAGAGAGAGAGAGAGAGAGAGAGAGAGAGAGAGATCGGCCGCGGGAAAAGGGATTGGAAACGGCGGCCGTTGCATAACGGGGCCCGTGTGCGGTTGCGGGCATCACGCCGATGGGACGCTGTCGCCTTGTAGATGCATGCCGGCTAAGCTGCTCCCGGGTTTTAAGGTGTCCGAGCACCGTGGAAACACGCGATTGCTGGCATCGCTTGTGCTAGCCTCGGAGCGGTTCGAACGGGATTCCCTCCAGCAGGGTGCAAGATAACACTGTTCGCGAACTTGTTGCCGTTTCGCGCGGTTGCTGTCGTCGTCGCCATCGGCGGCTCTGTTCGTTATTTTCCTCGTTCAAAGTGGTCCGGCGTAGAAACCTGGCTAAACACGCATGCTCGTCCCTGATCATCGTAGATTGAGGATAAGGAGACCGAAGATAACATTCTCGGTAACATCCAATTTTATAGACGTTGCCTCCAATCTCTTTCTGGATAGATGTAGAGGACTCTGCTGACTTTGACGTCTACTAGCCTGCTAGCTTCGAACATAGTTCTTTTAATTATAGGAACTCTGAAATCTCTCATAGCACTGTCCTAGACAGTCGCTTCTGCTCCTGGCTTTCGCGACTAGATTTAGAGGACTCTGCTGACTTTAACTGTTTAGGATCCCGTTTACTAGCCTGCTAGCTTCGACCATAGTTCTCTTAATTATAGGAACTCTGAAATCTCTTCTAGCACTGTCCTAAACAGTCGATTCTGCTCCTGGCTTTCGCGATTAGATTTCAGGGACCCGGCAGTCTTCAGCTATTTAGGATCCCGTCTACTAGCGCGCTAGTTTCGCCCGTAATTCGCCCAATTAACGGAATATCGAGATCTCTCTCAGCACTGTTCGCGACAGCCAGTTCCACTGCTCGATCTCCTCGGGACACCTGTTCGCGGGTGCAGGAGCAGCGCGGCTATCACGCTGTTCCCCTTGCGAAAGCACGAATTTACGCGTCGGTTTCTCGAGTGCCGTGGCCGGCGAGCTTGATCCCCGCAATCAACAAGTTGTTATTCTTTCGTTCTCCTCGATAGAAGAGAATCGTGGACGGCCGGAGTGGACTTTTACCTCGTCGATAGTAGGTGGTTTACACCAGAGAGCGTGTTATTAGCGGGAACGACGGCGGCGAGTTATAATTGCGGTACGCAGGGCTCCGGCTGGTCGCGACAACGAGTCGCGTGAAGAAAACCGGAACAACTCGTGGCGAGTCCGCGCGCGACGAGGAATCGGGCCCCGAGCCGCGCGCGCGCGCGCGCTTTATCGGCGCCGCGACGATAATCTTTGTCACTTTTCCTAAAGTTCACGGTTGCGCGTACTGGCCTCAGCAGGAAGGTTAGTCCGAAGTACTAGGACGATCCCGTTCCGCACCGGCTATCTCTTTCTCGCCGCGTCTTTTTTTCCTCTCCTTTCTATCCTCCTTTCGTTCGCGCGAGCTCGCGCATTCGCGAGCCCGCGAATCAAGCCGCCTGAAACCGACGCGTCGTCGTCGGATCGCGAACCGCCGCGTCGTTTCTTTCGACCGCCCGGTGGCTGCTGTGCCACTCTTTCAACGGTATCGGCCAGCTCGAGGGTTGTTTACTGGCGATAACCGGCCGGAACGCGCACCGATGATACACGTGAATCAGGCTCAAACATTTGCGATTCCGAATGCCGTCTCGGTGAAAACATCAACAACACCGCGACCACGCCGATAAAAACGGACCGTCGCTTTCTTCTCGACGCGCGCGGGCCTTTTCTGGCCGAGAGCGGCGCGCGCTCGCCGGATTCTGGGCGGAAAATCGTACGCTCGACGCTGGGAAGCATGTTGACAGCTTTTCGAGCGAGATGACTTTGCCTGAAATTAGGCTAAACGACGTGGAATGTTTTCTGAGATGGGAGCTAGGGAACAAGTAAACAAAATCGTTTCTAGGTCAGAATTGTTTCGCGTGATACGAAAATTTCAAAAAGACGTTTCTTCAAATTTTTTCGTCGAACGAAAATTTGAAAAATGCATTTCGACGATCTTGACAGCTTGGAAACGTATCGAAAATTTCATCGAAATGCCACGAACAAATAAAGACCTCGAGAGTCGCATTTCTTGTCCCGATTTTTGACACTTTCGACCAATGGCTGTCAGAAATCTGCACAACGTTTTTTTTTTCATCTTTCAACGCCTGTAGCTTCACTCTCTGAATTGAGAAATTAACAGCTTCGCACACCGATTTCGTCCAAATTTTCAGAACGCATACGAATTACCGAGATCTACAAAATGCATATTTTAAATTTTCGTTCCTTTTCGTCGCTTCGATAAAAAATTAAAAGTCGAGCGTTTTTCATTTTCTTCTTCAATTATAGTAGCAATTATAAGAAGAAGTATTTTAGTTATTACACAGTGTAAGCTAGTCTTTTGACATCCGAGAAAAACATTCAACTCATTTAGTCTAATTTGAAGAAAAGTTATTGCGCTTTAAAAGACGATCGAATACTTTTGCCTGGGGCTGTATTCGGAGCTATTTGTTTCCGCCAAATCGCCGCCAGGTAGGATAATTTATTGTGCAGGCAAATGTACTTATTACTGCGATATTACCGCGATTGAGCAGCAAACGTACACCTGCAGTAAAGCGTACGCTCGCAGTAATAGGTACTGCCGCGATGTTCGGTATCGGACTGTCAAGTTGCTATCAGTTAGGAAAAACTGTTTCGATCGTCTTAGAGGCTTCTTCGATGCAGCGAATCGCTATTTCGTCTACAGTGTGTCGCATTCCACGAGAATGCGTAGGCGACAGAGCTGATTACAGTGATTTCTCTCTAATTCGCGCCGAGATTGCGCACAAAAGTGGACAATTTCGGAACAGCAGATGCGATTGTTCGAGCTCTGCGGCTCGTTTTCATAGTCACCGATGGTCAACAATTATAAAAACGAGCCGCAATAATAATCGTATCGAATAATCGTATCTCCTGTTCCAAAAGTATCCATTTTTGCGCGCAATCTCAGCGCGAATTACGGAGAAATAACTATAGTTCCGTTCAGTAAACGCTAGATTTACGGAACCCGTCAAAATGGCGAGTCACTGATTCGTCAATTTACGATTGTTCGTATCGTAAAGATTTCACGAGTTACTTACGACTTATTTATTCAATTTACTTGCTGCAATTTATTCAATCTTTTCAACACTACTTACGGCAAATGTTGCAACGACACTTGTTAAAGATCAGAACAAACGTCTTACCGTTACCTTCATAATACTAACATGAAACGGCTGTTTTCTGGTGCTCCGTAAATCCAGCGTTAAAGGATAAATCGCGGATCAGGGAGATCGTGCTCCGACGCAGCTGAAAGGAACAACTTTCTAGCGACGCACCATTTGGTGCGGCCGCTTGCAGAAACTTCTCATTACGCAGTCGGCGGCGATCATTTTTAATGGATGTCCTTGGCGATGACATAACGCGTCCTGCAGCTAGCCGGCGGATCGGCGCGTTGGAAGCTTTGAAAGCTTTAGAAAGTGAGGTGGAACACAGCGTGTGTCGCTTATTCAGCGAGCTCTCGTCGATTGAATCTGTCATTTTCACCGAACCTTGCCGGGGCCAACCTTTACGCGCGGGATTCGACCTGGGAGCCCGCGTCCGCGCGTGTTTCATTCGCGCGATCAGTCATTTTGTTTATGCAATGGATTATATAATCGATAACGCGGCGGACTCGCGCCGACAGGCCGTCGCAGGATCGTTGTTATTTCGAGTGATGATAGTCAACAACAACAAGCACGTTGCCAAATGCCCGAGAGTCGCGAGACATAACGATCTAGGTAATCATAATCAATCACTGACAGCTCCGGCCGTAGAATATCTTAGAACGCGCGTCAACGATTTCATCTGCCCCCGCTCTTCCGTTTCTGCACACTTCTGCCGGATAAGAATTGCGACATTCTCGAAATAGCGATCTCGAGGCGCGAGTCAGGGGGGGGGGGGCGATTGCGCCTGCGACCGGGCCCAGGTGAACCAGAGCACGGCAACCAACCCTCTTTGCTTCGTAAACCAGCAACGTACTCTCTTCGCAACGTACTCATCGGATTTCTTGTTTCGCGATGTTCCAGGAAGGAGTCGACCTGGATAGAGAATTCAGTGTATCCCTCCGTGAGGCCGGGAACGTCGTCGGAGGAGAGATCGAGGACCGATATCGACTACGTCGCCGGCACGATTAAGTATAAGACCCGCGGGCTGAAGGGCGCACGGAGAAAGGGAACCAACTTGGACAGGGACGATGCAGTCGGCTGCGATGGGAGAAGCTCCGTGAGAAGACATCGCGGGTGTCGGCCTCGACGGCAGAAGCATCGTCGTCATGGCAAGGTAATTATTATCTTCTTCGACGATCACACCGGCGCGTTCTTGCTTCGAATTTCAGTTCTTTTTCTCAGACTTCTTCTCGCGCGACCTATTCAAAGTGAAACGATTTTCTTCTTTTCGATTGGATCGCGATTAGATTGTGCAGTTTGAAGAAAAACGATTAGGTGAAAAATAATATTTTGTAGACGTCGGAGGGGGGCTTTGAGAATATTTTTGTATCGTGAACTTTAGTGAATTTTCTTGCGGATTGCGAGCGGTTCGTCTGCTTATATATCAACAAAATATTAACAATATCAACAATGTCAACACATATCTATACATATGTAAATAAATAATATAAGACGAAATGAAGTACAATAACTTGAACGAATTCAACGAATTTAAAAGATATTATAAAAAGATATTATTATAAAAGTGTTGAACGCGCGCGCTTTTATATTATACTATAATAATATATATTAATATATATTAATAATAAGTATGTATAATTATATATATTATATAATAATAATAATTATATATATTATATATATAAATACTATATTAATAATATATACTAATATATATTATATTATTTCTCCAAATCATTAAAAAAGGAATAACAGTTTCGTCCGGCTTACGTTTCTCGCGATCAACTTAGACAATTTTCATTTACATAAAAATTTGCGGTCCAGTTATAATTACTCTGTGGTCTCTTTCGATTGTTTTTCTTAGCCGCGCATTCAGTTTATAGTGTTGCTCTCATCTCTTTATTGCCGTGCAATTATTTTAATGTACATAACAGTCGAATGGGCGGACCTTTGCGAGCAGAAATATAACGGAGCATGCTTTCAGCATCGTTTATAATTTTATATATCTATCTTCTTCGACGTATTGTTTAGGGAACTCATTTTTGATCTGTTAGCTTTTCTATGGAACTTGATGCAAAAATTGAAATCAATTGCCAGAAAGTAAATAGTCGAATAACAATATTTACGCCGTTCGAGTGTTAATATTCGTGTTCGTTTGTGTAATTGTTAGACTACGAATCTTTATGCAAATTCACATTTTTATGAATACTTTTGTAATCTGAAGATGCTAAGGATTTTTTTACATCAACCAGAAAATTCTTCGCGGTGAACGTAGAATAGCAACGCGATTACTTTTTGTTAATATTCATGTTCAGTTGCATTTTAAAAACTTGCATAGAGCGTAAACGCATAAAAATCCGCAGTCCAGTAATTACTCTTTGCTTTTCTTTCTTCGTTTTTCAGTTGTGCAAATGCTCTGCTCGTTTTTTACCGATATTCTTCATTAATCTTCTCACTGTTTTGCAGTCACTCTACGCAGCCCTTTTGTCAATGTTTCCTGTTAGTTGAAAGCCTCGACTTGAGACACTTCTACCTTGACCTCTTTACTGCCTCACAATTATCCTTCACTTGCTTGGTTAATTAGCTCGACGTTCGTTGCCATTAAGCAAGTCTTCTATTGTCATCTAATATCAATTGCACTACGTTCAATTTGTGTTGCGAACTAGTGCCGCTCAAAGCGATGATTTCCATTTGTACGAACGCTGTTGATATTTCTTTTTTGTGAATATTTTGGCTCCACCGACGTCATTTCTTAACGTTTAGCTTTTACTGTTCAGTTTCTCTTAGCGAACCTTTCAACAGTCGATCGTTGATGCAATAAAGCTTTCTTTTGGAATTATACTCAAACGTTCAAGCTGTTTCCTAAAATGTCAGCAACGATGAAAAAAGCTGAAGAACATTCATATACTACAGAATCTACTTTGTATATCCTAACCTATCCATTCTGACAGCAGACCTGGGCACATTTGAAATAATATTATCTTTTGTTACAATTAGCATTATAAACATTATATTTATCATAATTATTTGAGATAACTGTTTATCGTAATTACTTGTAACAATTATTTATTATAGTTATTTGAGACAACTGTTTATCATAATTATTTGAAACAATTATTTATTATAATTATTTGAGATAACTGTTTAATTATTTGAAATAATTATTTACTCTAATTTTTTGAAATAATTATTAAGTTAAACTTAATGTTTGAGACTGCCTCACGGTTGTTTGCTTTAAACAAATTCTTACGAAGACTTTATGAAATAAAAACTTCTCGTTAATTATTATTTCGTAGACCATTTCTTTTTTTTGCGAAGAGAGCATTACTTTAAAGAAATTCTCGTGAATATATCATGAAATAAAATCTTTTTTTCTTCATTATTATTTCTAGCATTATTTCTTTCGGCCAATTACAAATAAAGAAATCACGAAATAAGTTATTATTCGAAATTTCTTGATCTCAAACGACACAATATTGCGTTTACTTTCAAACAACAGACTGAAATCAATTACTTCGAACAGTTACCTTTTCACTTTCATGCCGAATAAAAATGCCCAGATCTGTTCTTCATAAGTAGACCGCGTATTTTTATGCATTTACGACGAAACCAAGTACATACATCGAATTCAAAACGTTGGAAACATTCGAAGAATTCAAAAACGCAATTGCATTGCGTTCATCTCGTTCAAATAATTAAGAAAAAAAAATAAATGTCCGCGATGCAGCATTGCGTCTTGCAGTCGCTTCACACAGTTTTAATTTTGCATAAAAATCCGCATTCTCAACTCGACTAAAACTAAAGCTCTCTCGGACTCCAAAAAAAGACCCCGCTCCGTCGAAATCGAAATCACCGAAATCTCTGAAATCCCTGAATTAGTCGAAAAGTTCTGTTTACCGAGCAGAAACGATCCCTTCCGAAAGAAAGCGATCACGCGAGCGAACTTTAATCCAGCTTTGCTGATTCGCTTGCATCTGTGTTTCCGCTGATCTCCTCGATCCCTGACTCAGCGTCACGATCACCTATGCACGTGACGTCAGGAAAAGTCAAACCGATATTGAACTCGACCTCCTCTTTTATCGTTTCAGCCATCGGAAGCAGCGTTGGCCGATAGATCTTCGAGGGCACAGGGGTACCACTAAAACCGAGACAAGCTAGGGAACGTTCCCGTTGCGTCACGGAGTGTCATCGTCGCTTGCTATCATTCTTCTGCTCTCTTCCTCTCTCTCGCTCTCTCCCTTTCTAGCTCTTCCTTTCTCGCTACCTCTCTCCCTTTCTAGCTCTCCCTTTCTCGCTCTATCTCTCTCCCTCTTTCTCTCCCTCTCTCTCCTTCTCCTCGCCAGTAGAGCAAACTTTGCTTATCTACGAACGCATCCAGAGATCCCGAAGGAGACGAAACGATCGAAACGGAGGGGAGAGGGAGCGGCGTAGGAATGCCGGTCAAGATCAAGAGAGTCGGAAGTGGATGCAAGCGAGCAATCAATCAATAAGACGTCTAGTCCCATGAAACAGTGATAATTGGTCGTTATATTAACGGTTAGACGAGCAGCCTCGAGCCGCTCGAAGTCGTCCTCCCCTCGGAACGCACGGGACAGACAACAAGAAGACGAAGAAGAAGAAGAAGAAGAAGAAGCCGAAGAGTTCGAAGCCGAAGAGCTCGAAGCCGAGGAGCTCGAAGCCGAAGAAAACGAAGAAGAACAAGAGGAATAGCGAAGTAGAAGGGCGACAAAATTTAGGACAATTTTCTAGACCACCGTCTCGCGAGTGACGGGGCAGGGACGCGGTCCGCGCTAAACGCCGGTGTCTCTTAATCAATTCCTTCGCCGTTCGGAATACATATTTTTCCTTTTTTTTTTATTGGCCGGAAACGCACGAGCCCGTCGCGCTCGTGTTTTCGCGATAGGGTCGCGGGCCGCCAGAATGAAATTCGTACGGTCCCGGGCCCGAGACCGTTAGTCGCGTGATCTCCTAGAGAAAGACTTAAAACAAGTGTTATATATGTATCTATATATTTTTGTTTCTTTTGCTAATCTTTTTTTTATTTGTACATAATTCTGTGTATATGTATATAAATAGAGCTGGATCGGTTGGTTATAGAGTTAGATAGTAGCTTAGATAGATTAGAGACGCGAAACGAGCGAGAGGACCTCTCTTCCGGTTGCCGGTGACTTTTGGCTCCTTCGTCGAACAAATGATCTCACTAGTATTAAATCGAACAAAATCTATTTTTGTAATCGCGATCGCCGCTGAGCGAAACTAGTCACTAAGGACGATGGTCGAGAGGCGTCGAGCGAAGTCGGCGCGTCGGCACGCGTCCGGCGCCCGTCGTGATTCGTCATTATTCTTGTACATAGATCGCACCTGCGTAGGAGACTATTTGTACAGATCGTATAAGTTTCTTTCTTTCTCTCTCACTCTCTCTCTTTCTCTTTCTTTCTCTCTCACTCTCTCTCTTTCTCTTTCTTTCTCTCTCTCTCTCTCTTTTTTTTATCCGCTAGAGACGCGCTTTCAAACATTCGCTGTAGCCTGTATTCCACGTCTGTTAACACCGATAAAGCGAGTATTTATACCAGTAACAGTGTGTTTTCTGTGTCCTCCTGTTTCTCCCTTCACGTCCCGACGGGGCTCCGAGATCGGGGGAGGCCGCGATTATGGCGGTCTACGCGCCGGACACGTGGCGGTTCTTGCGTAACCGACGACACGCCGCCTCTGCCGATGGGATCAACGCTTCCGATCGCTTGTACGTATGTATTCCATTAGCTGGAATTCCATTCAGCCGGACGAATCCCGGTGCCGTTCCCCAGAATAGAACAATTACGTGCGCGTGGCCGGGGGACGCGGCACCTGACGGCGGCCATCTTGTCGTTCGAGGATCCGCCACGGTTTTACGATCGTAGTTATCGAATGAACGGTGATTGCGGCTACTTTTGCCAGCCGAGGACGAATTAAACCGTGATCCCCGACGTGTCTAAGACGCGATCGTTCGTAGGAGATCAATCGAGGCTGATCTATTTAAGCGTTCGGGGCGCGATTACGGGCGAATGCGGGCTCCGACGAGGACAAAGAGACAACTCGTTTTGTTTGTTTACGCGGCCGGCGAGTAAACCGGGCAGATAAAAATTGTATAAATAAGCCGTTTATCGGCGCCGGACCAACGGAGCGCGTAAAAATACACATCCCCGGTGTAATTTATGAGAAACAATCGAATTTATTAATATTGCGCGTCGCTGACGCGATTACGAGCGCGGCCGTGCGCGGAACGTGTTTATATAATACGGTTCGGCGGGAATATTTTTTCGTCGGGTGTTCGGCTTTCTCGTAGGAAATCGTGTTTGTGCATTAGGTATGCGGCAGAGATCTTGTTTACATATTTCTGGGAAAATAATGCGACGATAGAATGTTTCTGTTCGGACGTTGCATGAACGGTTAGTCACTGATATTTATAGGAAGATATGATTCCACGAAACAGTGCTGCTAGTGGCTCTTACAAAAACAACGTTTAATCGTTTATGCTTGTTTGTCGGGCTGCCGATGTTTGTGCAAACTGTGACCTCAGTTGTTTGTTTTGTGAGCATTAGAATGGGAAAGATTATCCGAGTGGATTGTTCACGGTAAAAATAGATGACTTAATCAGATCGTTTGATGATAGCTTTCGTCGTCGCTTTTGTAATCGATCGTAATCGTTGATCCGTTAATCGTTGCTAGGATAAATCGGCGATCGTGATTACATTTGGTAACCGTTAATCGGTTGGCGGACGCGAACGATTAATTTATCTTTTCTTCTCAGAGTTTCTAAGAACTGTTTATTATTAAGTATCGTAACACCAAATTTTTCAGCCGATCATAATAACAGAAAGCAATCATTATGTTGATTATGACCAATTATTACATCTGCTTTGATTATTTAATTGACTCATTAATCACGATTACTTAAGCTATTCATTCATCATGATTACTTAAGTTATTCATTAACCAGGAATACATACACTATTTATTGATAGTGATTATTTAAGTTATTCATTCATTATTTATTAATCACGATTACTTAAGTTATTCATTGACAATTATTACTTAAGCTATTCATTAATCACGATTATTTAAGCTATTCACTCGTCATGATTACTTAAGTTATTCATTAACCAGGAATACATACACTATTTATTGATAGTGATTATTTAAGTTATTCATTCATTATTTATTAATCACGATTACTTAAGTTATTCATTGACCATTATTATTTAAGCTATTCATTCGTCATGATTACTTAAGTTATTCATTAACCAGGAATACATATACGCTATTCATTGATCATGATTATTTAAGTTATTCATTCATTATTCATTAATTATGATTACTTAAGTTATTCATTATTCATTAATTATGATTACTTAAGTTATTCATTATTCATGATTTCTTAACTTATTCATTAATCATGATTACTTAAGTTATTCATTAATCATGATTTCTTAACTTATTCATTCATCGTGATTCCTTAAATTATTCACTAATCATGGTTACTTAAGTTAATGCACTAATCATGATTACCAGATTACTTAATGATCCGAATCATTAATCATGAACATGATTTCACGTTAGTCACAATCGTTAATCATTAACCTTATTGCCCAACTCTGTCAAAAATGAATGAAAAATGCGTGAACACCGTAAATGAGTAAAGTATTGCATCCATTATGTTTACAAAAAAACAACAACTAAAGTGTTATTCTTTTAATCGAGCGTATCGCCAGATTTTTCGTGTTTTCAATCCTGGACACTCTTCTCCGTAGCAGTTGCTCGTAACAGATCTTTCTTCGTTCAGAATTTTCATCGGTGAACCAATTTTCGAGTTTGTTTGGGCGAAGCTGGTTCCTGGACGTGCATCTTCCGACAGATTGAATTATTAACCGGTCACGTTGGCACGAACGTGTCGGACGATAACCGTGCACAAGGGACAATGATAGAATCTTCGCCTTTTCAGCCGGCAATCAGTAGGAAGACACGTTAGATCTAGGAGAATTTAGGCTTTATTAAAGAATTGCGTGACCAGTGTTCCGAAATTGTTTGTTATTAGCGGCTTTGATCAAACACTTCGCGAAACACCGCCGATCTTTCTATCCCCGATCTTCCAGTCTGGTACAGTCACGGGCTTTCTAGGTTACGCAAATTTGATCGAAGCTCTAGGATTAATTGTAGATAATTATTCGAACACGAAGAACCCACTCTTTCCGCTTGAATCGCATTTTCAGCAAAGCTGCGGCGTATTTTCCCGCAATATCTTCTTCTTTACTTTGCGTATTACGTAGTACACTCTTGTGCACTTCACTTTGTCATCTGTTTGTATTGCCCGCGTCAGCGTCGCCGCAAGGATTTATCTATAATTGTACTTGTAATGGAGCAATTTTTCACCGTCAATTAAATGAAAATGAAGATATTTTCTCGTGCATAGTAATTTGTATCATTACGTAACAAAACACGACATAAATGCTATAGTATCAGCAGTTGGTTATTAATATACCAAAGATGTTTGTGCATTTGCAATCATGTACAGTAACGAACAAATACGTGTTTGGACGTTTCCTAAAGCGCAATAGCTTTTTCAGCACTCGGCTAAACGACTAGAATTTTTGTTTAATATAATAGAGGGTTTATAATAGAGTTCGTATAATATTTATTTATTATATAAATAAAAATTGACTAAATGCTGACAGTGACTGAAATGCTTCTTTTCATAATTTTGCTATTACTTCGAGTGACGAACGAAACGAAAAACTCACGTCTTCTAACTTTTTATCTGAGTCTATAATGAAAATCTTAAAAACTCGTTGCCTAGATATCGGTAATTCGTACGCGAGCTGAAAATTTTATCGAAATCGGATGTCCTAGATTATCAGCTGTAAACAATTAAATATCGCGGAAATCGCAATTTTGGCACCAACTTTTTTCTCATTCCTAGTATTACCAAAATTATAAAAAATATATTTTTGTCGTTGTCTAGTAGACTATTCTTTCTGTCGTGTAACAAAAATTCAAGCAATTTAGTCCAGTTTTCAAAAAGTTGTCGCGTCTTGAAAGGTGTCCGATACCGTCAATTCTGTTCTCACTGTAAACAACCTCCCACACAACAAAATGAATTATCGTGTCGTCCCGACTGTTATAAATGATTCCCACGTGAACGTGATATTCGCATAAATAACGAGCGCCGAGCACAGAAACAGAATTAATTGTCGGATGAATTTCGAGGACAATAATTCACCGTCAATCAAAACGGAACTCGGCGTTCCCCAAAATAAATTCCGCAGATTCGGACGCGTAGACGGTTTCAAAGCGCTTGCGCAACTGTTTGTTAATCGCAAATATATAAATTTGATGGACACTTAGAGCTATATTCCAGAAAGTGGAAGCCCGACGGAAGGTTCGTCACCATACGATCTCTATTTCTGGGACAACGTTCCGTTGGACTCCAGCCAGCTCGTTTCGATCCCATCACTCCCTTACAAGCAGACTATTACTTTGACAGCCATTAACCGCTGCACACGGTTCGCTTGTAAATTGGATGATAGTAGCAAACCCACTACGGGACATCGCCTCTCGCGATTCTCCGTACGAGTGCAGTTTCAGCTTAAAGATAATGCTGCTGGATTAGCGGATGATGCAGAGAATCGAGCCGCGCGTGTCCCCTTCGACCGGAAGCGCCATCTTTGCCTTGATTTCCTTGTTCCTAGTCCCATTTGCGCTTTGATTTCACAATCTACTGTTTCATTCACGGCTGCAATTTAATATACATTCGGAATTCGACCGCGTTCCATTGCATTTGGATATACTTCCGTTTTCTTGCTTTTCCATTGAACGAAGCTTTGACATTTTTGACGACGGATCGATGTACAGTCGTGGACAAATATTCTCGGATGTCGTAAGCCTTCTTAGTTTAGGATAAAAGTTTGTATCGTGTCAACGCGAAAATATTCATTTTCTTTATTTTTAATTTTTAAAATTTCTATTTTATTCTTTTTGTTTTATTTTTATTATTGCGCACTGATGCGAGTTGGTGTAGTGAATCTTCTTAACATAGGATGAAAATTTGCACTGCGGCAACGAGAATAATAATTTTATTTATTTATAATTTTTTTAATTCTTATTTTATTTTTTCTTCTTTTCTTTTTTTGATTTTTATTATTGTGCGCAGATGCGATTGGGTGTAGTAAATCTTCTTAACATAGGATGAAAATTTGCACTGTTACAACGAGAATAATAATTTTATTTATTTGCAATTTAAAAAAATTTTATTTTATTTTTAATTCATTTCTTTTGATTTTTATTATTGTGCGCAGCTGCGATTGGATGTAGTAAACTTTCTTAATATAGGATGAAAATTTGTATCGTGTCAACGAAAATATTAATCCTATTCTTTATGATTTTTTAACTTTTTATTTCTATTTTATTTTTTATTTTTATTTTTCCTTTTCATTTTTTTATTTTTTTTATTTATCGTATATGCTAAAGAAAACAGTATTTCAATAGAAACAATG